TAAAGAGACAGTAAGTGGAGGGAAAGAGAAGATAACAGGCGCGTCAGACGCCGTTGGATGTTTGTCCCCGTCGGTTGCGATGCCTTCACGTAAGAAGACCAGCCAGCAAAAAACCAGCTCATACTCGCACGTGCAGTAGCTGACACGCGTGAAGGGATCCATTTAATGTAAAATCACTTAAAAACATTGACTCATTCTTTCAGGATATGCCTCAAGATCGAAAGGGTGGCTTTCACGTCACGATCGGAATATTTCAGGTCACCAACGGTTGGTTTTTAGCAAATATTTACCTTAAATATGTAAAAATTTGTCTAAGAATATGTTGTAACTTCAGTTCTTGTTCACCCCCACCAAAGTACATTCTCCGGACAAGACATGTCAAAAAGTGTTTGACAGTGCCACTTCTCGTTACTTTCTGTTTTCAATTTAATTTGTCTTATATGTGTATACATGTTTCTTTTTTATAACAACTATCATTTAGAAAATATTTTTTGATGCTGCATTAAGAAAAGAACAAAATAATACAGTAATAATAAAATTCATACAAAAAGAAAGATGGAATCGTTGTTACTCCGGATTCATATATATACATATCTACAAAGACAGCTCTGGATTCTGTTGTGATTCTAACATGCTTAATAAAGTAGCTAAACGTTTTATTATTATTATTATTAATAAATTTTAATTTCATTTACGGACAATGTTGGATACTGAAAGTTTGAATCTTGTTAAATGTTAGACCAGCATTATATATTGATCTCTTTTACTATTGTTATGTGACTTATTAACTATCTTCCCGAATTTTTATAATAATTCGGCGTCCACACATTATATTATGTATACACAACGAGTATTACTATACACATCTCTTACAAGTTTCATAATGTCTACGAAAAGGTCATTTGCTTTTGTTTTCTTCTTGATTCCATATTATATACAATATTCAACAAATATGATAAAAACAAAGTAGGATAGATATGCATTACAAAGGCAACATAGCTTAAGATAATCTCTTTGTATATATATATATATATATATATAATTCAGGTTTTTTATATCTTTATTTTCTTGCATATGAAGTGGAATATACATATGCCAAGAACGAATAACTAACCATGATCAATCAGCTCATATCGAAACGTAAGGATTCGATCCTCATTTCATTGTTTTCAGCATGGTTCTTTACTCCATTTTTTTTTATTACGATTCTCATTTCTTTACTTCTTATGATCGATCCAAATTTCACCGGTCATGGTAAATAAAAGGGTATCACAAAGTGTTATAGTAGTATAAAAAAACGGATTCGTATATTGCTCATGAAATTAGTACTACTAATTACGAGAGAGAGAGAGAGAGAGAGAGAGAGAGAGAGAGAGAGAGAGAGAGAGAGAGAGAGAGAGAGAGAGAGCACAATGTGTGTGTTGACCGCATGGGAAGAAGAGAGAGATGTAGGTTGAATCTGAAACCAGGACGTGTGGGCGTGATTCTTCCCTTTCCCACCCATCCCCCGCGGATCCCGCTGACACCCGACCCGACCCGATCCGGGTGGATGGGTGAACATCGGACTAACCACTCGCATCTCGCCTCATTTGTCTTTACTTGAACTCCAATTAGGAGAGGGCATGTGGCTCTGAAACCCATGTTACAATACTTAAAACTAATTACTGTCTTTGTTTCTTTTAATACAAAATCTGCAACCATTAATACACTTGGATCATTACTCACTAAAGCCTAATTAACATGTTAGTGTAACCATTTTGTTTTGCGGATATCGAGAAATTTGTGAATAACTAGATATTTGGACTGTTCTATCTTAGCTCAGTGATTTGCATATGCTCATTAATGTTGTATCTTACTTGGACTTCCTCTTCCTTTTCTATATCTAGAGATTATCGAGATATATAGCTAAGTTTCTTCAATTTATAAAAAGTAACGTGTGTTTGCTTATATCTTTCAAAATTTAAGAGGCAAAATGAATATATTCACTGTCTAATCGGTTAACATAAATTCATGAAATACAAATAAACTCCATAGAGTTACTTATTATATCTATCTTGAATCAAATTAAACGACGCATTGGTTATTGTTGTAAATTGTAATTGAGTCATAAAAATCAAGACCTAGTTCTTTTCAATTTGGAATGTAACAAAAACTCTAACATGAATACAGTCTCTTACCGAAGTTTGTAAAGTATTGATTTGTATTAGTATCATCATATATATGTGAGCGATAGACAATTAAAAAAGCAACATAAATAATTACGTATTCTCTTTGAGTAAATATTTTTTTGGAAATTTTTATGTAGAAAATTTCATTAAATTTTGTACCGATCTTGATCCCAAAAGTTTGTAAATGTTATATAATATAAATATCTAGTTTTATCAGTCACATTCTCAAAATATGGAAAATATATAGATTTCGAATGAAAAGCTAATGGTTGATTAAAGTTTGATCAAAGTGAGAGATAAGGACGGACGTGATAGTTTAGACAAAAACAAAACATAGCTCGATGCATTTTTTTGGCACCCAATATCTTTAGAATCTGTTACGTAAATCCACGTCAGAATTTTTTGGAGTATATAGTTCGAAGGAAAAGGCTCTCTAGCTTAAGGACATATAACGATCGGATTTTGGAATATTAAACTCGCAATAGACAATTGTATTTCTTTATTGATTTAGTTTTGAAGAGAGACAAAAGACATAGTCATCTGTTTAATTATTTATATAACAAGATATTACTAATTTAATGTCATTTTAACCTTATAGTATTATACACTACCTGATCAATCAAGTTGGTGTTTGTCATCACCTTAACATATCGTTCGTTTAAATCTTGCATACCTTTTCATATTCTCTCAACTCTCAAGACTTAACTCTATAGAAACTTGCCTTTTAATTTTGATCTACGTAAAAATATAACCACTGAAATCAAGATAAATGATCCACTATTCCTGTATTATGCTATTAAAATAAATAACGAAAAAGGAAGAACTGAGTTCAAAAGAGTGGACTAAGGCCGAGGTTGTCATGTGATTGACAGCCATTAATTTAGAATTATCATTTATCTTTTATTGTCTTTTGAAACGAATATATGCCTTGAGAACTTGGTGCCGAAATGTCAACGATTCGATTAACATCAACTTAAGCATCAAAGCACGACGTGTTAGAAGTAAAATTAAATGTATATTAGTCACAATCCTAATCTGCTTATTAATATATTTTTATGTTTTAGGGAGTGTTGATTATGGTTCTTCATTTCTTATTTAATCAATGGTAGAACAAATAAAATGTTATAATGTACTTTTTATAAATATAAAACAATAATATATATAACGGGTTATTAGTACAACGTCACTTTCAGTTTTTAATATTTTAAAAATTGTATCTAGAATCTGAATTTTTTTTATTATTCTAAAAACTGAGTATTTCAAAATATAAACAAAAAAATGATCAAATTCAGCATGCTATCACAATAACTATCAGGAACAATATCATTACAAAAAAAAACTAAATACATATGTAAACATTGAGGGAAAGAACACAATTACAATAAGTGCTTGTTCTTTTATAGAGACAGATTCGAAGATTATATAATAAAATCCAACTCATGCAAATATGGAGATAAAAGTACATTTTGTAGTTATAAGTCATAAGTGTGATCTCAATTTATAGAAAAAATAATAATTTACATGAGGGAGCTCCGACAAGTAAGGAAGTGCAATCTTTGTTATTCTAGTTGTGTAAGAATTTGATAATATGCAACAAAATGATTGCGTTTGATGTCGCTTGAGATTAAATATTGAGACGAAAAAAAAAATTAAAAAGTGAGCTCGAAAATAATATTAACAATAATATATATAGACATAGTTCAATAACTGGCTTTCCCAATTTCACGTTCACGACCGCCTATATATAGTTACATAAAAAAGTTCGTCATATCTAATCTGCTATGTACTTTTTGGTTTTGAACCCAACGAATACCATTAATCAGTTTATTTAAGTTACAAATCCAACTTTTATATTACTTGATGACATTCCATTCGGGTTCCCATATAAAACAACGATTAATCACCTATTATATTTTTTTCTTACTTTTGTTTGACGTAATTTCACGTTTTAATCGTGTGATTGTCTGATTAGCTAATTAATCAGCACTCCAAGTCTTTTTTTTATAAAAGATTTTTGATCGATTACACTAAAATTCTAAGAACCGAAATGTTTTCAAACAGCCAAAAAACTTGCGCACCTGGATTTTAGATGACCATTCACGATGATTATAACTCATAAGACAATCGTATATACCAGATAATAATTTAGTAAGGACACATACCCTTTAAAATGTGAGAAATCACATCGTATTGGAGTCGCACACTTCTATAACTCAAAATAACTATGTATATTTTTTTATTTTTTTTACGGCGACTATGTATATATTATAAAATAAAATCTTAATTTTCTTTTATCTAATAATTTATTCCATGTTCCGAAAGCTTAATGCCTTAAACCATAACAAATTAACAACTCATGAAGGTTTACGGGCTAAGCCTCGATCATTAAGCTCATCAAGTCCATTAAGAGAGTGTTTAAAAAAAGAAGGCTTAAGCTAAGGCCCAGGCCCAATAATAATTAGGACGACATGGACTAGTAGTCTTGTAAGATAACTCAAAAATGCAAGAAGCGTCAAGCCATCAACAAAGAGAAAGCGCCCTCTTATTTTACATTTGTGGGGTTATTATTTTTGGTAGGAATTTACATTTATGGTTAAATCTATGTCAAGACAATCGAACGGACCAAACAAATATTTAAATGAACCATGGTAAATGAATATAGATATATTTTTCTTTTTATAAAAATTAATGTTCCAAGCATATAAATTTTGAATTTAGTTTTAAAACAGTAATTAAACTAATCATATGACTAAGAAAATAAACTTCTAAACTAAACTGATCCATACTAAATTTAGTTTTTATTTTCTTATTATACCTTTAAAACATGAAAACTCAAAAACGAAAATGATTGAACCTGTTTTTGTGTATATTTTACATACAGATTTAGTCCTGTTTAGAATTTTTATAATCAATAGTTTCTTATATAATAATCGAAGAAAATTAAATCTTATTAAGTAGTAATTTAATTTTCCTAATAACAAAAGGGAGATATATCGATCAAAGGCAAAATCATCTAGACATAGACCGAGACGGCGAGTCGTCGGTGGCTGCTGGCGGGGGAGATCCTTGTCTATGTAGGAGCTCATGTGCTAATGCTTGAAGGTCACTATTTCCACCACCGAGCCCCACGGCAGCAGAGGAAGATGACGATGATCCACCGTACTGGTGACGTGGATCAACGAATCTTCGTTGTTGTGTAGCCCACGACGTCGTCGTTTGATCGAATATAGAGGCTAAATCGTATGTTGACGGTAAAGGTAGGACTGATGCAGGTAAGTCGGTTATTGAAAGAGGTGGAGGAGGAGTGAAAAAGAGCGGTTGTGACTGCGGTAGAGATGGTGCTCGCGTTTGCGGCTGTGGTAGCTCTAGGGATGCCAAATGGGCTTGTAAGTAAGAAACTTCTGCCTGTAGATTCACCACCTATATATACATTTTACGATATATTAAAATGGTAAATAATCATGAACTTATTCGGAAAATTAAGTGAGAAATGAGGATGCGATTAATGGCTTGCAATTTATTGCCACTACAATACGATTAAATTCTTACATGGATCAGTTAAATCTCCTTCTTTTATTTTTTAAACGCTTAACGTGATAGTCTAATTATCCCAAAATATTCATTTTCTGCTAAAGGATATAATTATCCCAAAATAGTTACTACGTATTATTTCAGTTTTTTTTTTACGATTTCTTGTAATTATTAGTTACCTAAAACTTTGACTAATTACATTTTTATTCACCTTTAATAGCTATGGAACCAATGCATGTTCGATTGTTAAGGTTGTTAGGCCAAATTATGTAAAAGAAACTAATGAAATCTATATATTTTGGGATAAATATATCCTTATTATGTAAGAAATGATGCGCACCTTACAGATTCGTTTGTCCCCTTATTACATGGAATAGAGGCATGAAGTTATATAAACAAAATGATTTTTTTTTCCCACAAGAAAGAAAACGATGTATAGTGAAAAACATATATTGGTAATTTGGTATATACGTAATAACACAGAAAATTGTATCCCGACCATTTCCCGAAAACCAGCAAAAAATTCCATATTTTTGCAATGGGACTTGTCGACGACCGTATCTTTTTTATATAATTACATAGTACATTATTTTTAAATTGTCGATAATAAATTAACCAGACAACCTTTTTTTTTTCCTTTATACTCAAAGTAGAAGAAGATTACAAAACCAAGAAAACCCAAGAAAATGACAAACTCTCGGAAATATCAGACGATCTCATATTTGTCACAAACAAATGGTTCATACTTAAAATTATATTATTCCAAAACGAAACCGAAGTTTGCTACTTTGGAAAAGAAAAGAAAAAAAGTAACTGTCATCAATATATTATGTGGTAAATTTAATTCAATTAGTATGTTTCCCATATAGTGATATCTTTAACAAAGAGGTTAGTTAATTACCTGTTGCTGAAGAGCAAAGATGTGAGCGACGCAACCATAAATAGGGTCCCTTAACCGAGCCTGAGCTTCATAGCAAATGGTTACCACTGCATCTGACCGTCGATGAACCGGTATGTGTAAGAGAAGCTTCGAGACGTTGCTGGCTCCGAACACTTTATGCACAGCCGCGAAATAAGCCGAGCCTTGCTCCGAGTCGAAGTATGGTGCGAATATGCAACCCGGAACACACTTTCTCCTTAGAAACTTACAAGCACCACATGGCCCACCACCACCGCCGCCACTACTTCCTCCTCCCCCGCCACTACTTCCTCCACCACAACCACCACCTCCCACGGCGGTGATCGTGTTTCCACCGCCGCTCATGACAACCCCACGATTGACTCGTATCTCTCTCCTTTCGTTTAGGGTTTGGAATTTGTTGAGAAGAATTGAGGAGATTTTATTTGTTGTTGTTGAAGAGGAGAGGAAGATGTGAGAAAAAGGAATGAAGAGAGGAGAATTAGGGTTTGGTAAATAGGAGAGTATAGAGAAGAAAGTCTTTAAAGCCACGCGACGACAAAGCTAGCAAAAAGAAAAACGATCTTCATCTCTCTCTCTCTCTTTCTTTTTTTTATCCTTCTCTCTCACATTTAGTTGCTTGCGTGAAGCAAACATGCGATAAGCCTCTTCTATTTTTCTTTCTCATAACCTTTAATTACCTAATTATACTATTTTATATACAAAACAAAAAATGAAAAAATCGTTTAATTGTCTATATCCCTTGGAACTTCTCGTGTTACAATGTTATTTTCCAAGAAAAATAAAATTCTTGCTGCTCTCTTTAGTCTTTACTGATATGAATTTACATGTGATTTTTTTTTTTTGGGGAAATATCTCACGACTTTGGTTTTTTCTTTTATTTGAGTACGTCCAAGATATATGAATAAAATGCATTTTATATCCTTACTCTACTACTTGACGGCCAATTAAAATTAGGCCATCAAATATTAAAGTTTTGACAATTTGCAACCATGATGAAAAATAGGGTATTTTCTCCCAAATTTGATAGCCATAGTGTTTTCATATTCAACCTGCAAGGTTGTTAAGACGCCAGCTCTTAATTGTGTTCTTAAAGATTCAATTTCCCAAAATTGTATTATTGGAATAAAAATGTAAAAGCATACATAATTGATCAAAGACCTTTTCAAGTAAAAGGATAAACACATTTTCATTAATTTATTGAATTAGTTACGCATACTAGAGAATGACTCGATCGCCAACTTATCTTTCCAAATATATAAAAAGAGTATCAACTATGTTAAATAATTCGTTACCATATATAGTAGTATTATTTCTTTCATATTTTTTATTTTAGTAATACACGATTTCGGTTCAGAAACGAGTGAATAGAACGGGGAGTCAAAATGACTAAAGGGAAACAAAATGTATTTACCCGAACCAATAATAGTGTTACACGTGGCCATGATGATTGTAACTGCCTAGCGAGTGAAAGATCAAAGAAATGAATGACGTCATTCTCCACGTGGGTCCTACGCGCCGTTCCCTTAGAAAGTTAGTAACGCCCCTTTGCTTCCTGAATGTCTCCTCCACGCGTATTTTATACTTATCATAAATGTGTACTCAGTATTATTAATTTTATGAGTTAAAAACTTTGAACTTTTATGTTATATATATGCTTTTTTTGTAAAGAACACTATATTTCTATGTTAAAGAAACGAAGGTGAAAGAACATTATATTTATTAGAATCTACAAGTTGGAGATGATATGTTTGCGAAACGAAGGTTACGTTGATAATTTAAAATCGACAAGTTGGAGATGATATCAACCTACAATGCATTAGTACATACATGACGAGATTAAAAAAAAATATGCTGAGAACAAAATTTGTTTTGGGCACGAAGGCATTATGCATGAGTCAAAAGACAGTTCTTGCTATCATAAATTATATTCATTTTTAATGATTGATTAGTCACAAACATCGTCGAATTATCTAATAGCGTAACAAATTATAAATGATATAGTGTAGGCGGTGGAAGTGACATGGTACCTCAATTCTTGGGGATGTACAAAAAGAGTCGAACATTTTTGATCAAAGATAAATAAATTTAGTTTGCTATAGTTTTCCTCTTATGTTGTTTATTTGTAGCTCACTGTATAGTTTATATATATAGGATTACATATCAATTAATTATCGATTGGCTTATTGGCTTATAGCTGATCTTCTATAATCGATTGGCTTATAGCTGATCAATTATCGATTTATAAATACTCAATGTCACAATAGTATCATTGATAATTCGCTTTTCTATATATTTTTGATGAAACCTTTTCTTTCGCTCGTGCAGTCAAACCCTAGTTCGCTTATCATAATATATACACACATGCGTTACTTAACACATATATTCATATTATGGGTTAATCCTACCTATTTCCTTTGAACTCTAATATCCACCGGTCAATATCTACTAAAAATTAATAATAGAAAATGAGATGGTGTCGCCTAAAAACAAGGCAAAGCGATTGATTTAAGAGTTTAAGTGGGAGCTGATGATACATGCAGTATACCACTAATTAATCTTTTACTAATGATGCTTAATATTTTAACAAATGATCAATAAAATCTAGCGAGAGCAATTTTGAACCGGTTGATCACTTTTTCGTAGCAACTTCAAACTTTCTTTAAAATCTACAGTATATGAAAAAGGTGCGAATTAAGATAATCTTTATTACCATTTGTTAATTATATATTCAACTATTTCAATTGGAAATTTTGATGAGGACACACAGTTAGCAAATATTTTAAAGAACATATCCTAAAATAGTATGTGTTGGACTACTCGGTTATAGATTTAAGTTCCATAAAAAATTAATGGGTTACAGGGATTTTTTTGCCCAAAGACATGTGCACACATAGAATAAGGCAGGATCAGAAAATCTAGCTACCAATTGCAAGACTATAGTATTCGAAATCTATTTATTGTTAGTTTCATAAATTAATTAATGCCCGTATTTTATAAAGTGAGAAATGATTCCTTAAAAGTAGAAATGTGCATGGCCTTGAGTTATTATATATTTTAAATTTTATAGTATATGCTTAAGCTTAACTATGTTATAAATTAATTATATGAGCACAGTCCCAAAATTCTTGTAACTTGTTTATATAACCACAAACACAAAAACACACGCACACGCATACATATGACTTCATTTTAAGTCCAATTGATGAAAAGTAATAAATGGTCAACTGGCAAGAATTTATGTATATTCAATTCGATATTTTCTTTTCTTAAAACAAAAACTTCTTTTGTTTCATAGAATAATTGGCCCCTGGTCGGATAATTTTCAGGCAGTGGTTGTATTTCAGACGTAAGACAGTTTCGATCTTTTGGTTTTGGTCGCATAGTTCAAATTCGACAATCTTTCGGTCAAATCTGATAATTCCTCTATCTTTTCGAAGTACGTCATCAAAATTTATGGGCATGTATAATGATAATGTAGAAAAATGAAAGTACAAAACAGAAATCTTTCAAAGGACCGTTAAGTTAATTATACTAATGATCAAAAATATAAATAAGGATATAGTATGTTTTTTAATAACGAAATGGGGCAAGTTCGAATATAAAATGCTATTGGGGGCGTTACATTAAAACACTGTGAAGGGGGTGGAGGCTAATGATGTAAAATACAGTACTGAGACTTATGAATTAGCAGACAAGAAACCGAGCGGCGCGATTCACCACTCCAACGTTCCTACTTATTCTTAACTACAATCAAACTTGTGAAGTACAAAGAATGCATGGATGCTGAAGATTATATTAATCTTATTTACGATGAAGTCAATATTTTAGAATCTGCAAAACCAAATAGATAAAAATTAATTAGATCTTGGTTTGAAATGGTCTTTCAAGCAGAAGAACCCGTTCGGATCACTTACTTCGAACTTCTCTTAATGTGGGAGTAAATTTACAAATAGAATAACATCTTGAAAGTCTATATTTGGTTTAAAATAATAAAAAAATATCTGGAACGAATCTCATTCTAATATTTAGAACATTTGTATAAAATTAAGTGGTTAAAAATAGCACATCTTAGAAATTCTAATTTAAATATCGACTAACGAGACAACTAATAATTACTAAAGTACAATCATGTACTACTAGTTATGTTTGAGGTTATTAATATTATTGTGATGAATATGCATTACAAATGTTAGGCATTATAGACGCAATAAAATGGGGTTGTTGTAGCTTCACTATTAGAGAAGGGATGGTGAGGTAAGAAAATGAATGCCTAGGTCGCTCTGACAGTGAAGTCATAGAGGATGTGAGTCATGCCACATGTCTAGATCTTACGACGTGGGTTGTTTTGTTTAGCGATATGAAAAGCAAACGTACAAGCGGTTTCTCCTTCAATCGCAACCGTTGATTCTGGTCTCTTCCTCATTTTTTTTTGTTTGGTTTCGTGGAAATTTGGTTTGTAGTCCACGCATCTTTGAAGAAAGATTTAGTATTCAACTAATCCGATTTAATATTTATGATGATAAACCATCAGTACAATTATTAGATTATTATATGATTTTTAGGTAAGAAGTTTGGTTTAGTTCAGATTTAATTTCGTTAGGATTTAAAACCATCATTTGTAGAACGGAATTCGATTATTGAGGTTTTGCAGATATGTTGAGTTATAATATCAACAATTTGTCACCATATAAATCATTATTTTTGAAAATTATTAACTTGAAAGAGTTTTTTTAAAAAAACGTTAATTATTATATGTTTACTTAGTTAAAAAATGACATTTCATATTATATTAATAGAAAGATAGAAACACTGAAGAGAGATGACTGGATCGAGAGTGAGTTAATAATGTCGGGTGAAACAGAAACAAAAAGGATGAAGAGGCAATAAAGCAGGTCAAGAGGACTCAAGAGATTGGGTTTTCAAATCTCTCTGCACGTTTACTATCACTTTGACCGTGATCGTGACCGTGATTGTGATAGTGGAGAATGGAAAAGAGAGATATTATTATTAAGCTGTCTTGTCTCACTTACTTTCTAAAGCTATAACTTATTGATACTTACATGGTTTTTGTGTTTGTGTGTGTTTCAGTGACAATAGTGCATCGCTTCCTACGTCCGGTTTATCTAAACCAACCCTCGTGATGAATGATGATACGCTCTTATATATAGGGTTATGGTCTGAATCTGAATCAGACATTTCAAGATATCTCCTTCCTACATTTTCCAATGTCTATGAGTTCATGTGGGGATATCTATACATGTATACACTCAAAATCGTACATAAGGGAATAGAGAGAGAGAAAGGTGTGACAAGAGATGTGAAAGCTTGAAAAGAAATGTGCATGGGGAGGGGCCGCTAGGGCTAAAATTTATGTAATTTAAAAGAAAAATACAAATAAGGGTTTTAGGGGTATGTACATTTGAGCTAAATGAATCGATTTTCATCATTGCGTATGTATATAAAGTATATTTCATACTATTACGTACATAGTTCATTTGGAGTATGCTTGTGAGTTTTCTTACATAGCGTTTGTTTTGTTTCACTTTTACACTAAATATCTTGAACATATTACAAGAAGATCATTTATAACATTGAATTTTGGAACCCATATTAATTGCTCATACGAAGATATATTAGAATTACATAAATGAGTAGT